CGGGTAAAAAATGTACACGTACCAAAATATCCTTCCACTGCTAAGCGACTGCCAATGACTATGAAGAAGACTGCCTATGACTGCCATGTAATTATTATACGCGACTGCCAGAAAACTGCCAATGACTGCCAGTGACTGCCAAGAAAATGTACATGTAATTCCAATAGTGAGACACCCCTCGTCCCAACATTTCATTTCGATATAAACTACTGTTCTACTTAAAACCTTCGTGTCGTATGAGAGGCGCCATCCTGTACGGACATGTTTTATTTGCCACTTTCAGTCAGTTTGAAAAAGGAGCTTTAATCAAATAATAAATAATCATAATACCAGCAATGCTGAACACATATATACCTGGGTATACGAGGCTTTGGGCCTTAAGCTGAATGAATATCGATAAAAACTAAAATAATGTGAATTCCTCCGGAAAACAGTGCTATAATGATCGGAGAAGAACGATTGGAATATGTAGAGGGAATTCAATTACTTTGGCAGTTTTATTTGGGGAAAAGGTCAATATCGACTCTGAAATTCAGCACAGAACTAGCAGCGCCTCCAAGAGCATTCTGGAAATTAAAAGACAGCGTTTTCTATAATCATGACTTAAAGCACAAAACGAAACTTGCAGTATACCGAGCAATAATAACCCCACTATCCACTATGTTATATGGAAGCGAAACTTGGGTGCCGTACCGCCAGCACACGAACGCATTAAACAAGTTGCAACAGAGACGCCTTCGACAACTGTTAAGAATCAAATGATATCACCATGTTTCAAACGTCCAATCAGTCCTTGAAAACTTAGATGCGAGAACGCTGAAGTCATGATTACTAAATCCCGCTTAAGACAGGCTGGCCACGTATGAGGATGCAGGAAAATCGCCAGCCGAAATCTTTTCTTTACGGTGATCTTGGAGACGGTAAGAGGAAACCGGATGGACAACTCAAAAGATACAAGGATATTTTTCATGAAAACTTAAAGGGGATAGGCATGTAGAATCAGTGGGAGGATGCAGCGGACAATAGAGTGCAATGGAGAAGAATTATTGTAAACTCAGTTAACAACGACAACCAAAAAGTAAAGAGGCAACAAAATAATACGATTTTTGAATGTTTGTAGTGCGGAAGGGAGATAACGTGTCGGGTTTTTCAGTCATAGAAAAGTTCACGAAAGACAACGTAACCTTACGTAACCATCTTTTGATGCGTGTCAAATACTCGTCAGCGAGTAATGTTATAAGTTAGTCATTAAACTGTACATCTTGATAAAACAAAAGGAAGCTTACGAAAATTATAACTTGAAATTCAAAACGTTTTTGAAAGAAGTGTTACACGACACTCGAAATAAAACTTTCTAAACAAATTAACGCGTCAGCCGAGTAATGGTATCGGACGGGAAAAATACTCCAAACTTTAGTATCATCTTTCTTCAGCTCTTTAAAATTAAATTTTACATTGAAAACTATTCAGGATTACTTGGCGAAACCAAACTTCTTTCAGCTTTTGAATTTAATTAAAACGTGTTGCTCGTTTTGTCGCCGCGCGCCGTTCTAAACAATGATTATTTAATAGAGTTCTTCTTGAAAAGTTTGTATTGTGTTATTAACTCTACACAAATTGGAAAGGGTTAGCTTTAAAATTAAGACTACAGAAGGTATTGTTGTTATACAGGGTTCGGCAATAGTGCGTCGGGCGTCTGTAGCTTCTAAAATAAAAAACAAACGTATAGTACGAGAGCTAGCAACGTCGGGAAAACAAGTATTTTAGGGAAGCTGGCTCCTTAATATATCGTTTACTATGTTCTCTGGAACAGCATGTGGCCCGTCTGGCTGCCGGTCTTTGCGTTCCCTACTGCGCATTGAAAGAAGATCCTATTAAAGAATATTTCTCTTATTCTTCAAAATAGATACATATAACTTTATATTGTTGGAAAGTGTTAAACGCCAGCATTTTTTTAAGTTCATAACCAACTATGATTTCCATTTAAAAAATTATATTTTTCATTATTTCTGATAAAAAGAGAAAATATAAGTATTTTTTAAAATCTTTTAGTAGGCTATGACTGTTTGAGAAATTCGATATAAAAAGTCCAATCATCTTCATAATGGTAAATATTTTTTTTCAAACGGTAACATCTATAAATAACTGCTCATAGAGTCTATTTGTATGCATTTGAATGCTTTATTAAAAAACAACAGTAATAAAGCCTTATATAATGCAAGTTTCTTTCGAATGGCTTTCGTTTGTTTGCATTGGACATCGAAACTCTGTTGCTGATTGCTCTAAACAATCTAAAAAAAGTACTAATCAAATTAATTTAATTGTCTTCACATATTCATAATGTAGACGTTTATTTTAAAATCTCAGGATAATAACTAAGACTAGATGATTTTCGAAACTACCTTCAAATTAAGTTATGTACTAAATTGCTCTGTTTTATACAGGTTAACTGGACAGTTACTTATAGGGGAATAGAAGGCAACACTGCCTATTGAGAACGCATGCACTTATAGGGTTTTCTGCCGACTCGTCCCGTCGCGTCGTCTATCGAGGAGGGGGCCGAGGTTGCCATATTTCAACCATAAAGCTCTTGCCGCGAGTAATAAACAAATTAACAACCTGTATATGCAGGTTGATTCATCTAATAGAAATATACAGCATGTTCCCGGATTGTATTTACAGGAGGACAAACATTTATTATTGACATTTTAAGTAAAATACATTCTTTATAAAAATGTTTGCTCAAAAGGCGTTTCTATGGTTATATCATTTCGATTTCATTCTTTGATAGATGGGTATCATTAAATTTGATTAGCGTCATATTCTTTACTGTTGTCATAGATAAAGGAAACAAGTTTAGATTGGAATGCTCCGCTTGCCGCCAAAACTATGGCCAAAACTTATAATTGTTTTGGAGTGCATACCTTGTACGGGATCTGGTGCTGCTATAGCAGTTGCGAAGAATAACCGTAAACAAGAACAGAAATAATTTTCTCTTGTCGAAGTCAGAATCTTCACAAATTATAAAATCTTTCAAAATTTAAACTCATTGAAGAAACCTCATTGAAAAAATACCGAAAAGTCCATTTTCAAAGTAATTTCCACAGTCACAACACGTCGGTTTCGTTTCATAGCTTTTCATACATGTCCTGATATAGAATAAAGTTTCTTATATGCAACACACTTTATTTTATTTATAAAAAATCTTTATAAATTTGAATAAACAATATTTGGCGACATAATTCCGGAAAAAGCCGAACCGCTCCGAAATTATCAAAAGCTTTAGAGAGCGACCGTTGTAAGAATAGCACCAAATAGTATTTACATTGTACTTATGGGCACTTTTCAATCTAAATTTGTTTCCATATTTCCTTCCATATTTTCCGATAACTATCATCACCCTTACCGTAGCATTGAACTAAATAATTTATTTTTATCAATTCAAATTTATTTTATAAAACCTTTTTCCTTTTTTACTGTTTTTCATTTTCGATAAAAAATCGTTAGATAATCTTTTATGACAAAAAACTGTTTATCACTTGTTAGTGTCTTTGTTTAAAGTCAGACCATCCTGTTTAATGAACATACTGTTTGAGGTTTCGTGCAAATGGATTGGTTAAATATGTCGCTAACTCTCTACTGCTAAAGTACAACGCCACATATCTCACATCTGGTGATTTTCGTCATTTTGGCATCTGTTATTCAATTTTGATTTAATTACTTATGATTTCAAGTTGCTTTAGTGGTAATTTTATATTCCTTGTTTAACAAAGTTATTGTTAGGGTTTTTCTTTTCGTTACCCGTATGAGATAGTTTACAATACAAATTTATATCAACACTAACGTGTACCAGCGACTTCGTTCGCGGCGAATTAATCATTTGTAATGGTGATGATAAGCAAAGCAAGAATTTCCATTAACATACAAACTGGGTAAAATTTTCTCACATTTATGTCAGCATAAGAAAAAACAATATGGCGATATTATCGGTATTATATATAACTTGGTAATATTTGAGGGGTAGTTTCATCTTGTTGAAATTTGACTTTCGAAAAATCCGTTTGCGAAAAATAAACTTTTTACGTCGCGCTTTAAGCAGGATCGTGATTAATTACTGACCAGATTTTTCGAAACACCCTGTATACATTTTTAAAAAATCTTAAAATATGTAAAAAAACAAAATAAAATATACGTGTTTAGGCGTTTTTTCGGAAACTTGACCGTTTTTTAAATAAGAAATATTGTAATATTTGAGGGGTGGTTTCACCCTCTTAGAACTGGAATTTCGAAAAATCCCTTATTATCGAACCTCTACACCCTAGAATCAACCTGTATGCCAAAATTGAGCTTCTTACGTTGAGTGGTTTGAGCAGGATCGTGATTAATCAGTATGTCAGTCACTTAAGGATTTTATATATTAGTATAGATACCTTATTTTTTACACCAAATTTCAAATCTCGCCTAAAATTTCTATTGTCACTTCTTACGAGACATCGTGTAAATGTTTAAAATGGGTTGTGATAATTTTCAAGTAAAAGTTGTTTTATCAAGATACTCTATTATGTGAGAGCTAACTCTCGAGTTTACGTTTCCTTTGAGAAAACTGAAAATTAGGTTGAACGCTAATTAGAACTGTTTCGAAAGTAAAATATTTATCTTTACAAATCTGTTTTGAGGCTAAATTTAAATATTTTATGTAATGTTGGTTGTGTTATTTATCTATTTAAACTTAAACATAAGCAAGTCCGTCCCATCTATATAAACGAAATTTAACAAGAGTTACAAAAGCACATCAAAAACATGTATACTTTTTTCTCAGTAATCTTATACAAACGACAGAGAGGCATTTTTTTTAATATTTTGAAGACAACTTTATATTCAGAAGGCAAAACCCTCTAAAAAACAGAGTTCTTTAGTTTTGGGATCTGGAAATCCTGTTAACAAATTACGTTCCTTATTTAATGTATGGTAATCATAAAAGAAATGAGGGTTATACTTACGTCGTTATTCTTGTCCGTGTTTAGGAAATGCTCGGCTACGTGAACTGGTAAAATATTGGCTAATAATTTTCGGTTGTATGCCTCCAAATGTTCCATGTCTTCCTTTTCCTCTGTAAAAGAAACATGACAGGAATTTAGAGAGATTTATTTTCAAAAACTTTCCAAATTATACCAATCATTTACTTTGTGTCGGGATTATTCACCATTTTTTAAAAATCGGATTATATTATGATAGTGAAAAAATCTCCATCCAAATTATAATTATTAACACCAAAAGATTTATTTTTTATTTTTTATTACAACGATTTTACTGTAAATATAAATTCGTACTTCATGATATGAAAAGAGGGTGGGGCACTTGTCAGTAGCAGGATTTTAGCAGTCGATAGAAAATCTTATACTAACCGGCGTCAAGACGGCTGCGGAATGACAATGTATGACAATTTTGGCGAGGACAAGCCTTAGACGTCATTTATTTGGCTCGTATCTTCTTTATTTTTAAATGGCGCTTACTGTCAAATGGCTTTAAGAAGGATGTGATTTATTTTTGTATTGAGTAAAAATGATTTTTAAATAGTGTAGCTTAAAATTCGAGAAAAAAAATTGGAAGTAGACTTGTGTGTCTGGAAACATTCTATCCTTTTTAATCTTTCTATAATTAGTGTTAATTTTTGACAAGTTATATGTCAAATCTTAGTAAATGATGTCTAGAGATTGACCTCGGCAAAATTATCATCAATCGTCACTTCTTAGCCGTCTTCGACGCCGTTTTTTTCATCGTTCTCGGTATACATATATACGTTCTCCATGAAGAAATTGAGCATTATCTTTCCTCTTAAAGGCTGATACACTAATTTGAGTAGAACTTTTCGTGACCCATAGTTTCCTATGTAAAATTATCCAGTGAACTCTATTAATGAAGTTTAGCGAAGAATAACTGGCTCTTAACTCTATAAGTATCTTTAGAACTTCTAGGGATCCGTTCGCGCCAAATTAATTCGATAAGGGATCGAAATTATCGAATTTCCTCAAGCGGTATCCTTTGGAAATTCTGTTCCGGATCTATATTCAACTGGTTGGATTGAGTTACTCTTTTAACTTCAAATTATATATAAATCGTATCTAATCGACCTAAATAACATAAAATCTTGGGCTTTCGAATTTACATTTTATTTGGTGGTTCAACAAAAAATATTTATGAAGGTTGTGCTTTTCTTTTAAATTGGACATCCTATACATATATTATTCAGTTTTCGGACTCTAAGAAGAAAATTAATGTCAGTGACGTTAAACACGTATTTCACAGTTGGATTAGAGTATCACAGGCGAGTATCACGAATTTCACCACGTATATTGAATCTACTTCTTTCTACCGTATATTGATGACATTCACATATAATGTAAGTTACTGTTAACTCGACATCACAGACTATGCCCATTGGAGGCATTTCTCTTTTAAGCTGATATGCATGAGTCACCGCAGTATGCCCAATTACATAACTAAGACAAGACAAAATTATTAATGCGTATTAGTACGTCTGGGGACAAGTTAATTTGCTGCTAGTAAATGGGACACCCAATATATTATTTCTGCATTCGGCACAGAAATCACGCCCCCAGATATATAATTTTTAGTTGTTTTTCATGGTTTTGATTCAGGTGTATTAAATGCTGATAAAAATCAAGGAGCACACACACATTAATTTTGTTTCACCCTGTATAACTCTCCATAAAAGGTCTGCTCATTGTTTATAATAGAGTTGATACCGTATGATAAAAAAACGACGTCAAAGAGGGTAGGGGAATGAAAATCCATGATAATTTTGGCGAGATCAATCTCTAGACCTCTTTTACTGAAAATTGACATAAAACTTGCCACAAAATAACATTAATCATAGAAAGTTTAAAATAGGATAGAACGTTTTTAGACACACAAATATAGTTCCAAAAAAATATTTTTTCTCGAATTTCAAACTACACTATTTAGAAATCATGTTTACTCTATATAAAGATATATTATAACCTTCTTAATGCCAGCTGACAGTAATTGCCATTAAAAAATACAGAAGTACAGAAAATATAAGAGTACGGACTAAGTAAATGACATCTAGGGCTTGACCGCGCCAACATTATCATCGATTGTCATTCGCAAGCATCTTTTAGCGCGGATTTTTTCGATCGTATGGTACTTTAACTGTATAGAATGTAATAAGGAATAAATGATAATTTAGCAAGTTTATATTCACGTTTAATATTTGTTAGTAAAAAGGTTCTTTGTTCAACCTAATACCAATTAATATAATGCAGGGTGGTCAATTAAAAAATACAAGTTTATTAACAAACATTTTTAAAGGGGTTACTTTGTACAAGTAAATTTGATAATGAAATTGTATCCTAAATTAGGGAAGTTAAGAGTTACATATGGGAGTACGGTCTGATAATTATCTTCAAATAAAGGAGTTTAATGTTTGTTTAGTTACAGCAGCATGTAATTTAATCCTATTAGATTATATTTCCTTTAACACATACTTCACGCCCTTTGTAATATGAAATTATATAAAGAGAATTTGGTAATTGTATAATAAACTAGAGGAATTATATAGAGGGAAATATAAGTATGTGGAAAAATTACACTTTTACTGTTGAATTATTCTGTTATACTGGTGTATGGTGCTGCATAGAATGGCATTTTATTTTATGTTAATCCTAAATATCGACTATGCAATCGAGTATTTTCGTTGAAAAAGGCGTATCGTAATTACTTAGTAATTATATCTTTAAAATCGGTACCCAAAGGTAGTATTAAAAATTCTAATTGTATTATCGTTTAGTTATTAATTTTTTGCATATATTAACTGTTTATAACTATTCAAGTCAAAGTTATACCGTATGATCGAATAAAAACGGCGTCAGCGATGACTATGTGTTCGATGACATTTCCCATATAATTTTGCATATAAAATGACAGCGATTGACATAGCCATCGCTGAGGCCGTTTTTATTCGATCATACGGTATTTTAACCTACAAAAAACGATTTATTAGTAATCCTCTCAATTAAATTCCTTTGTAACCTAGATCTTCAGCAAATATACCCACTAAATTTACAGGAATTTTCATATTACATTCAAGTCATATTACACCTGAACTTTTATAGTGTAAGAAAAATGTCTGTTGTAATTATGTAGATTTAATAAGTAAGGCGCTTGAGATAGATTTTTTCTAGAATACTTTGATATGGTTTGGTTTAATATACGGTGCACCATATCTAATCATAATATGATGGACGTGTTACAGCATAAGGGAATATAAACAGTTTAACACGATATTCTCGGGTAATCTGATGGAATGCCATAATAAGTTCATGTTAAAGTTGTCTTTGTTTAGGTGTACTGCTGACTTTTATTAGGCAAAACATATTGAGTGCATATTAACATTTAACGAAAATATAAAGACTATAAACATAGTTATGATTTTTTTAACTATCTCTAAACTATACAGGGTGTCCCAGAAATAAGTGCAAGTATTTTAACTGGTAGTATAGCTCAACCCCAGAAACACGCCTATGAGGTTCATTTCGCGAAAAAAAAAATTGAAAATTCGAAATTTTTTGAAACATTTTTTGAATTTTTTTTTAGTTTTTAGTTAAAAAACATAATTTCTTGATAATATGGCAACATATGTAGGTATTAGATTAAATTTACAAGAAAGAAAATCCAGAAAAGCTAATGGTTCTCAAAATTTTAGCAAAAAATATATTTTCTTTAATTTTTTAAAGTAAAATAACTCCGTTATTTTGGACAATAAAGGGAAACCATATGTTTATTTTATCGAGATCTACCACCCCTTAAAATACTTGCACTTATCTGGGACACCCTGTATTATAGGGCATATTAGAATTAAATTTATTTTAGCATTTTTTTCTTTGTTAGGCAAATTTGTATAACTGTAAACATAACTTCTGACAAGCAGCGTCCGTTTAGGTTTAACGCAGAAGTGTTTACAAAAAATAACTATTTTATTTTGTAGATTTTCTTGCAGTACAGTGGCGAAATACCCATAAAGGATTTTTTTGGAGGGAATTAAATTAGTGTTAAAACGTACAGTATTAATTAATTAATACTTACGTATTAACTTTAATTTAATTATTAGTATGTATTTGTTACACAACTACTTATCCGACGCTATATTTCATGTGCTTGGAAAAATACTTTCTCTTCGTTCTTTATTCAGTACATCTTATTGCACTAAGCGTACTGACTGTCCCCTCGCACACACGAAAATCGGCATCTAAAACCAGGAATACCTATCCGGTATGAGACAATCAATTTTCATTTGTGATGCTGCAATAAATGTAGTAAATATTATTATAAAACATTGCAGTATAAAATTTTATGTTATTCACCAAATCTTTAAAGTTACAACAATCTCTATTTCAATTTTCTGAATTAAAAGTAGCTAAGTATAGTTTCTTTACAAATAATTTAATTAATATACGTGTTTCGTGTCTTATAATATTATGAAGCACGTATAATATCACACGGGTGTATAAACTGTTTTAACACGATGTTCTCGGGGTAATCAGATGGGACCGGTTAATAGGCTAATGTTTGTTTACATTATGTAATAACAGGTGCACCGTTGACTTTTATTAAGCCTAATTTATAGAGACAATATGGACATTTAACGAATTATAATGATGATGAACATAATAAAATTATGATTTTCAAGCTAACTGCAAATTATATTTTGGAGCATATTACGATTAAGATATTTTCATTGTTTTAATACATGCAAATAACAAGTAATGAATTATTTATAAAGCGATATTAAAATGTTTCAATGTGAATTAAATTTGACTACCGTAACTTGCCATTTTGCATATCTACTGGTACTTGCTTATGTTATGTAACAAGTAGGGTTCTAAAGTCCATTTAAATCTTCTTTAACATAATATGTACGAGAATGAGCGCAGTAGATTAAACGGGGATACTCAAAAAATATACCATACATACAATACCATACCGCCATTACTCGCTGACGAGTATTTGACACGCATCAGAAGATGGTCACGCAAGGCGTTTTCTTTCATGAGATTTTCTGTGACTGAA